TTTTTTTTTTTTTGAAATTATGCTAATTTTATGTGATTAAACTAAAAAAATACCTATAATAAAATTGAATAGCCGTAATATGAAATAATAACTCCCATTCAAATTATAAATGCAGCATTAATTCACTTTCCTATTCAATTTAATATCCAATCATCATTACCCACAAAATAACATATTCAAAAATTAAATTCATAATTCTCAACCAAAAAATCAGCAGTCCTATGGCAGCAAAAATCAACACCAGCCAAAAGTCACACATAGCCTTGTTCTTATCAACTAGACCAACTTGTATTACAAAAGCTTTTGTAAAATAATTTGCTTCCAAAAAATGAAAAAATGGATCATTATCCACATCCATACTAGATCTACCAGGTGTCTCTGGTGTCTCTGGGCGCACGCAAGTTTTACATGTTATAATCTGAATGGAGGAAGCTTTCATATGGCGTTCCGTAGAGTGCTCTCTGGATATCATCCCAGTTCTCAACGTGTTGGGACAATGAACCTTTGTGTATCTTCACTTGCTGACTCTTCAGATCCCTCTGTGGAACCCTCAGAAAATCTTGGACATCCTTCAATTTCTGCAAAATACATGGAAAACAGTACTTTTGTATGGAAACAGAAAGAAAAATAAAAATAAAAATTGGCATCTTTTTAGGATCAACTGTTTTATAAGACGATGAAATGTCTTACGGTGGAATTTTTTATTATGTCCTCGTAGTATAGGATAATGTGTTGGGTGCTCTTGAAGTATTCTAAAGCTTTGGCAGTCATTTCCTCTACTTGCCTCAGATTGCGGATCAGCAGTGTTGTATCGATTGTAGGTTTATAACTTGCAAGTATTTCTGCCTGAAACAGTATCACTTATTCATGACACAGAGAGAAGGAGAGGGAGAGAGAGGGGGAGAGAGAATGACTTGTGAGAGAGAGAGACCTCATGGGATGAATGCACATGAGATTTGTGTTCCGTTCAGTGGCTTAGCATTTTGATCGTAAGAGTTTGCAAGAATTGAAATCATCCTGCGCAGAAGATTTCTTCTGAAGAGAAAAATCAATGAAACGCCCTTGGTATTGAAATATTCTACAATTTCTTCATGATGCTGCATTAAACCCTGCATTTAAAATAAAAAAAATAAGGAAACCGTACTGTGGTTACATCAATTCAACATGCATGCAACAGAGGAAATTAACATTACAAAACTGAATTATAAGTTCATACACATTATTAATAACATCAGTAAGTAATGAGTGTGGTCAAATTGCATAATTTCAAGGTTGTCCGTGTCAGAAAGATGGAAAATTTAGCGGAAAACATGTTTTTTTAACAGGTAAAATTCTGCAAAATGAAAATTACAATGTTATCAATCTTCTGTTTAATCTGTTGCAAAATAACAGTTTAATCATTTGCCAAAAAGAAATTATGAAAGTTTGAAACTCATACTATATTCAGCACATTTAAAAGAAGACCATGGACCTCACAATTGAGTAGTAATAACTTGATCCACAAGAAGGTTTATCAACTCCAAGTCTGATTGCAGCATAAAATCAACACATCTGAAATGGGACAAGTATATGGGGGGTGTTTTAGCTAAATTGAGCTTAGCTTTTTCAATTTGGATGCAATGTATAGACTCCGTCAACCAATCCTAAAGTCAAGGCATTGAACTAACTGTCGCTATAAGTTGCACAAACAATTCTGGGGAGAGATTGTTGACAGCGATGTTTTAATAAGTTTAGAAAATACAGTTTTAGAGGAATAAGTCCACAGAATGATTTAGAACATACGTCATCGAGCAGAATTACAGAAATTTTGACTTTGCCAGAAAAATTAGATTGTATGTTTATCCAAAGTTTCGACTATTGTTGAGATATTACTCCTCCGGACTTTTACAGAGAAAATCTCTCCATTGGAGCTTATGTTTATATGACTATTTAATAATGTCTCAAACCATCCACTCCCGGATCTCTGAGTAGAGATTATGGCAAAATATCTCACCGGGTTGCATTTACACTCATCCCTAATTATTCACATCACCATATATCAGTACATTGATATGAAATATAGACTCAGAATGACAATAATTAATGCCTTACCTGCTAAAAGTTTTGGGTTGCGGATAATGCACATAAAGTTTTTCCCATGTTTCTATAATAGGTGGCTCACACGGTCTTTGGATCACTTGAACATTTAGCAATCCAAAATTTGTGCGGGTACTGATTTGCTTTAGACAGATTGAGCAGATATAAAGACCACATAGCATTGCAAATGTCAAGACAATCATTCTCAACACCAACGAGGGTTTCTTTGGAGCCTTCGTAATTATAGTATCCTGAAATTGGATTTTATCTATCAGTTGTTAAACCCTAATTGATGTAGTACTTACAGATATTGTAATACTTCATTCCAATAGATTAACCTCGGTATCTCACCAATAAGCTGGTTACGAGCAAGGTCCCTACAGAATAAATTTACACAAAGACAAGGCATACATATATATTAGCACAAGTGTCTATGGCTTTGGTGTAAATAAAATCAAAAAAGCATATGGTAATGTTAACTGCATGGACTCCACTAAAAAATAAAAAAATAAAAAAATTATGACTCACAGAGTTTTGAGGTTGGGAATCTGTGTTAATGTTGAAGGGATAGGACCAGTCAATTGATTGTTCTTCAAATTCCTGCATTTACAGAGCTTATTCAAGCCCTTGGTTGGCAGAACTAAAAACTTATCTATCTTAAACAATCCAGCATATTTAATTAATAGTACTTCACTTCAGGTATTAACTTACAATAACTCAAGCTGCTTAAGCTTGGATATTGAGAATGGTATATCTTCATACAGTAAATTATCAGATAAATCCCTGCATTATGGAAACCCAACCATTAAAATAAAAACTAAAAATCTTAATCACCTAAAGACAGAAGAAGAAATTAATATATCCACATATATGTAAATAAAATTGTAATGAAGAAAGAAGATGAAATTTTACACTAGCATTAGAGAAACACAGTTGCCTATCTCATCAGGAATTTGACCAGTTAATTTGTTCCCTTGAAAATCCCTGAAAATATTTCAACAACAACATCTAAAGTTAGTATTATGTAAACTTGGTTACAATGAGCAAGAACACCAAATCAACAGGATTAGCAAAGAAAGCATACATGGATTGTAGATTCTTCAGGTCTCTAATTAGCAAAGAAATCATCGTTGTGAACATCATCCCAGTCTAGCAACACATTTGCTATGTTGCTAAACGACGCCTTAATCGACATCAACGCTTTGCCTGTGTGAAGATAACACCATTCTCTCATCATCACAATAGCTTTCTATTATGGTATGATTTGCTTCACAAATGAAGGGAAAGTAAATTCTCTCCCTAGTAGCAAAAAAAAATGTTGCTTTTAAAAATCCAAGCAAATGGGGGAGAGAGAGACAAGAAAAACAACAATGTGAGCAGTGCTGCCAAATAAACCTTGGAGCTTGAATCATGTTTGCCATTAAAAATTTTTGAATGAAAAATGAAAAAACCTACACACTATAAAATACCATTAAACTAATGGAACACATATTTGAGTCTCAGTGGCATAAATCAGTCTCATAAACCATCATCAGGAGTGGCTGAACCTTTTTAGGCTTTGCTCTAATTCCCAGCAGTCTCAACACAAATCTAGCAAGCTCTCCATATAGTAATCCCGATCGATCCAACAGCTGCACATGATGACTCCACGAGTTATTTAATTAAACATACCTATCATATTATAACGACCAGACTCAACAATTTCATCTTGCAAATAATCAAATGGGTACACAAGGAAATTAAAGCACCTGAAGAAGAGCAGTAATGAACATGTGGAATGCCTGTGTATTCTGGTCTATCAGTATTGCAACCCGGCCAAAGAAGGTTACCACACCTTCCAACTGCAATCATTGTAGAAAAATTTATATATATATACATTATGGCTAAGAGAAATGGCATCAGTTCCACAAGTTTGTTAGCTGATGGTTGTAGTACACCTTCAGGGAAGAATCTGTCTTAAAGAGGTATTTTGACAATAATTCTCAAACAATCAATCATATTCCTTCTACCCAAATGATAAATATGACTAAATAAAATAGAATAAAGATTGCCCAAAGGTATATTGGTTGATAATAGCACAAATTAGGGTGGATAAATTAATGCAAATGATGAGTATTCCTTGGAATTATCTATCACATGCCCAACAAATTGCCTGGGTATTATATTCATATTAGAAGCAAATTCAATACCATAACAGTAGCTGTCAGGAGCTGAAACTATGAGGACCAAACTGCACAATGACAAGAATGTATTAGACTATTAGTATGTCGAGTGTGATAACAAGTCATTATTACATGTCAATATTAAGAAAGCACCTTTATGCAGCAGCAACTGTTCTTGGGACCAATTGACCAAATTCTAAGCTCAATTCCCCTCAATGCTTTCTGGAGGTGGTACCAACGTACCACAGGTAATTCCATTAACTCATCAAAGAAAGTTTGTAAATAAGTCATGGATTGCTAATTTGTTCTCATAGTAGAAAATCTAATCCACATCATGAGGAATGCGTATTTTTATTCCAACTATGACCTGTTTAGTAGTACTGAATGAACTTTCCTTTATCTTTCATATTAAATTAAAACATAATTCTGCAAAAGAAGATCCCTACAGGCTCAGTTTCTCCCTGTATTCCAGTCAGCCAATTTCTTATCAGTGCTGTAATTTTGATTTCAAATTGAATTCTTCATTTAATTGAATTTAATTAATTGATTCCTTAACCCAGTGAGTTTAACAAGTGCTAAGTACATATAAATCCCATGGGATTTCATTATATTTTCTAAAAATCTTCTGGTTTAGCAGAAATTGAAGAACATAAAAGAGACATTACTAGAAAGCATTTCAAAATCATGTGTCCACAAAGAGATTGATGTACCTAGTAGCAACTTCAAGAAGCTTTAGGTGACCTTCATGTAAAGGATTAAATGAACCAGGTAAAATTATCCTCCTTTCTGTATCAGAAGTATGTGTCTCTGCAAAACATTTTCTTCATAAAGAAGAATAAACAAAAGATGAAGAGTCACACTTAAATTTTCAATAAGATTTATTGAAAATCTGTAGAAGAAAATGCTGTAGAAGCATGGAAGTTTATTGAATATTGAAAATCCCAATGTACTTAAATTTTCAATAAGATTTATTGAAAATCTGTAGAAGAAAATGCTGTAGAAGCATGGAAGTTTATTGAATATTGAAAATCCCAATGTACTTAAATTTTCAATAAGATTTATTGAAAATCTGTAGAAGAAAATGCTGTAGAAGCATGGAAGTTTATTGAATATTGAAAATCCCAATGTACTTAAATTTTCAATAAGATTTATTGAAAATCTGTAGAAGAAAATGCTGTAGAAGCATGGAAGTTTATTGAATATTGAAAATCCCAATGTACTTAAATTTTCAATAAGATTTATTGAAAATCTGTAGAAGAAAATGCTGTAGAAGCATGGAAGTTTATTGAATATTGAAAATCCCAATGTACTTAAATTTTCAATAAGATTTATTGAAAATCTGTAGAAGAAAATGCTGTAGAAGCATGGAAGTTTATTGAATATTGAAAATCCCAATGTACTTAAATTTTCAATAAGATTTATTGAAAATCTGTAGAAGAAAATGCTGTAGAAGCATGGAAGTTTATTGAATATTGAAAATCCCAATGTACTTAAATTTTCAATAAGATTTATTGAAAATCTGTAGAAGAAAATGCTGTAGAAGCATGGAAGTTTATTGAATATTGAAAATCCCAATGTACTTAAATTTTCAATAAGATTTATTGAAAATCTGTAGAAGAAAATGCTGTAGAAGCATGGAAGTTTATTGAATATTGAAAATCCCAATGTACTTAAATTTTCAATAAGATTTATTGAAAATCTGTAGAAGAAAATGCTGTAGAAGCATGGAAGTTTATTGAATATTGAAAATCCCAATGTATTTAAATTTTCAATAAGATTTCTACCTAGCAAAATATGGATTTTTTTTTTTACTTAAAATTAATAGTAAATTAATATCTTGACAAGTTAGCAATATTTTGACAAGTTATCAACAGGTTCTCTCTTTTTTTTCTTTTTTTTTCTTTTTTGGAAAAAAGAAAAAAATAGTAAAAATAAAAAATAAAATTGGTTACCCCCATCTTGCCTTCACCATTCCAGATGTCTTCCTCTTCCCCATAGTCATTAAGTCTTGACATTGCCTTTTCATTTCAGTTTGCTATTCATAACATACGATCACATTTTATACTCCCAAACAGCAGGGGAAAATGACAAAATAGCTGAACTAGGGTAGTGAACAAATATGTCATGATATATGGTGTCACGTGACATATGGTGTCACGTGACATATGGTGTCATGTATGAAATATGCTTGACTAAGCAAATACTAAAATAGAATTGGCAGCTGACTCAAATGACTAGGTTTTTGTTGTGGAACGCAAGGTGTGATAATCAATTCTACGTTTTTTTCATGGAACTTCCTAAAATTTGAGTAGTGCAAAACTTTCCAAAATAACAATTCAAGACAGCTTGCCCATCTTATCCATGTGCTGACCCTAAAAATCACCTTCTTCAATTAGAAAGAGCAGTAGAACATTTCCATCTCAAGTTTATCAGTAACCAAATATATGAAAGAGACATTACATGTCATATACATTAAAATTTGGATATTACAACTTCATTACATCTTAATCTTTTACAGCATATGCAAATCCATGCGCATTAATTGCACATAATAAAATATATATAAACATAAATATCATATGATCTACCTTTAACGGTTTTTCTCATATAATGGGATGAATAAATTCAATACATACAAAATCCTAAACAAAATTTGAGTATATATACCTAATATAAAAAAAAAATGCTTAATTACATCATATAATTCAATTAAATTCATCATCAAACGAGCAAAGAATCAACAAAAACGTCGTCGATTTTCTCAGCCACTTTCGCTGCGATCTCTTCAAGCCCTTTCTTCAAGATTTCCAAATCTTCAATGCTATCACTGGCATCGAATTGCAGAGCATCCAACCACGAATTCAACCGGTGGTGGTTCGCGGCGGCAGCCTCACAACCCTCTTCTGCCTTCTCTCCGGCTGCGACGGTGTTGAGGTAACGATCGACAAGGGCGTCGAAGGAGGGTTCGCCGTGAGTGTAGGGACGGCCAGCGGGGGAGAAGGTGAGGATTGCGATGTCGGCGCCGGTGAGGGATCGGAGTTGTCGGGCTTTGTTGAAGAGACCACGACGTCTCTTAGAGAAGGTAACCATTCTCTGTCCTTCGTTCTCTACTCTTCTAATCTCAATTTTTTTTTTTCCACTTCCCATCTTCTCTTCTGTTTTACGCCGTCTCTAACAAAACTCTCCCTTAAATAAGCCGCCAACCCACCGACCAAAACCCTAGCTACTACTTCTGGCGGTAAAGTTTGGACAACTGTTTAGTGGGGATGTGTTTGGGCTGGGCTTCCACCTAATTCTTCCTTATTAGGCCCAAGATTGTTTCTCAATTCGGTCGACACTTAAATGAAGGCCCAACCAGCCCAATTAGTTATTCTCACATCTAACTTCATTGGTCTATATTTAGGGCCCAAGTGAACTGAACTGTTTGCCAGTTCAACTCAACTCTGTTCATTAAATAAATAAACGATATCAAATAAGCTTATTGCATTTATTATTTATTTAAATGATAAGATAAATATATTTTATATATATATATATTTAAATAATGTAAATAATAATGAAAAAAAATTATCGAGTTTCAAGCTTTTAACTTGAACTTGGTTAGTATTTAGTATTAATGAGTTGAACTGAATTTTCAAGCTCGTTAAACAAATGAGCTGAGTTCAAGCCTACAAAACTCAACTCAACTCATTTTTTGGCAAAAAAAATTAGGATAAATTACATTGACACCCACTGAAATTTATGTTTATTACAATTTTTCTCTTACTTTTTGAAAATCTTAAACCTCGGGGGGGAGGGGGATGTATTTCTATTTGGGAGTATTTCTTCTTGTGATTCTTAGGTTTATTCTAATATAAAGTTTCATGATATATTTTTAAGTTTATTGTATTTTTTCATATGTAGTTAATGTAAATTTTATGATATCTCCAATCACATAAATAAATAAATAAAATGGCCATTTACTAATAAATCTTATATCTATGACTTATAGACCATTTAGTCCCATACATATTTTTTATAAACCCAAAAGTCCTATCTCATATTAAAATCTCCCAAATGAAATATACCTCGCATTTAGAACCGTAATAACACAATAGTACACACATTAGAATGATATCTCATTTTCACATTTTGATAATGACACATTTGATAAAAGTTTAATAAGATAATAGTGTATAAATGTCTCATTGTCACATGTTAAGAAGAATGAAATATTTGACAAAAGTTTAATAAGATAATAGTATACAAATTAGAATGATATCCCATTATCACATTTTAAGAATGACACATTTGATAAAAATGTAATAAGTCAGTAGTGCACAAATATCCCATTGTTACATTTTAAGAAGAATGACACATTTGACAAAAATTTAATAAGACAATAGTATGTACATTAGAATGATAAGTGTACTTTTTAACTTTTATGAAAGATGTGCAGAAAAGTAGAGAGGTGATGTAGTCCAAAAAAGATAAAAAAAAATAAAAAGTGTGTGTACTCCAAACCAAGCAAATTTGACAAAAATTTAATAAAACAATAGTGCATAAATAAAGTATACCCACATTTGGAATATTCAAGAAATATAGTGAAAGAACCTCATAGTATATCTTTTCAAATTCAAAAATTAATGAGACTTTCCTATACATATTTTTTTAAGATAGGACTTATGTGTAAATTTCCCTAAATAGAAAGGACAAACAATTATAAGTTGTTACAAACATGCATGCTGACTACACTGGCCTTGGATTTGATCAGTTGTCAGATGTTATTGATAAGTTGTTGGCCATCCCCACAGATCTACAAGTCCACTTCCAGTTGTTGACACCAAAATAATACTAACAAAATATAACCTTGATGTTAAAATGAACGCACAAGTCTAATGGGCTGCCATATCTGGGGTTTGATTTGCTTTCAAGCCTTGGATATACTTTCCAAGCGTACCATAATATCAAATGAAAACCAGCCAACTTTCATCATTAAGACGATTTTCTCATCAAGATAACCCAACTATCGGAAAGTATTCATATAAAGCATTTACACCAAAATATTAATTTCAAGACCTCCCAAAACCCAAGTATTGTTGTCTCACTTTGTTAATCTCTTACAAGTAGTAGATATATATATGATTATCTACTTCAATAAGTGGGCAAGGTCAGGATCATCCAGGTCCAAATCCAACCATCCATTTAAGCGCATGTACTCGATGTAATGATCTGGTGGCTTCACAGCACGTGGATTTCTTGGAGTAAAGCGATGAATCCTCTCAAGATCTCGAGCAAGCCACCGCACATATGCACGGTCCAAAGGAGGTACAATCTTTAGGAATATCTCTTCCTTCTCTTCCTTTGCAGGCTTGTTTCCCATGTTTAATCAAACCTAGCCAACATATAAAAAAAAAAATAAAAATAAAAATAAAAGAAAGGAAAAAAGTAGCAGTCAGAAAGAAAACTCACCTCCTATCAATCATTGAATAATAGAAAATCTTTAAAGGCATGTAAGATGATACTAAAAACTTGCTAAAGAAGGCCAAACTCCATTTACTTCAATAAGCATCCCATAACTTTTTTATTGTGCAACCTATCATATATTTCTTTCTTCCTTCATTTTTCTGATTCTACAGCGCTTAAAATAATACCACTTTGAAAATTTATAACACACTGAAATTGTATTGCTGTTTGTCCCCTTTGTAGACCTCAGAGAGATCGTGTCTAACCATGACCGTCTTATCCCATAGAAAGTTTCATCCCAGCTCCCAATTCTGTGGTCTCAATTAATAATCAAGGCTTTGGAGCAGCACTTATCTCAACTGCTAAAGAACAAGAATTAACTCAACTAGGTCTTGCAAATTTAGAACTGTCAGAATAAGCTATGCAACTTAAATTTATACATTGTACTAGTTGATAAATTTAACCTCCTATCAATAATCTATACTATTATATTAAGTGAAGGCTGGACTTGGTGTCCAAGCCTTTGCTTGCTTCTCCTTATGTCATGTGTCTCTCATTTTTCTACTTACAAAGAAAAAAAAATAATAAAAATATTAGATAGATGACAAGAATGGAACTCGAACCTTGGACCTTGGGTCTACTAAAGAAGACTCTTACTACTTGAGTGACACACAATATATAGAAAATATTTTGTTTTATTTTTACTTATTTGAATTGCACATGCATAGCCAACTGCTAGTTGTAGATTAAGTACAAGTCTCATCAGAGTGTATGTCTCCAAGTTGTTTTGCTCATCCCATAATTGGAGGACATAGTGGCATGGGTGAAACATTCAAAGTGTATACAGTTAATCCTCCTTTTGTACATGATGAAAACTGCCATATATACGTAGTACAGCATATTTGATGATGGTATACTGGTACAAATTGTCCACACAACCAAATAATAAATTATTGAGAAGTATTTACGGAAGTGAATAAAAAACATTGAACTCCTTTTGGGTATTTAATGCTAAATGGCATCAAACATAAACTACAGCATACCCATATCATATCTAGTCAAACAGGTATTTCATTCATGTTGGAGCAAAAATGTGATAAATGTACTAAGACTAATGTGGGCAGTTCTTGAAATGTAAAAAAAAAAAATGGAGAGACAAGGTTAAGGTCATAATTGGATAGACTGGAGAAGGCCTGAACCCCTTGATTTATCCATTATGTCACAAATATATAAAAAATAAAAAGTTTTAATGAAAAAAAAAAAAAAAAGAAGGTGAGTCAAGCTTAGGAATTCAACCATGAAGGATATTTATTTTCGCTTATTTAGGAATTCAACACCCATTAACATCCCAATTTCAATTAGGATCCTATGTTGTTCCATTCATACTACCCCATTACGTACTACTAATTCCATAAGCTATAAATTCTAAATCTCCAAGTGAACAGTCTGTTGCAACTGATAAGTTTTCTATGATGCAGCCCACTCTACAAAGGAAAGCTTGTCACCATGATAATGTAGGATCAAAATCAATAACTATTCCTTTAACACATGGTACAGGAATCATGCTGAAAATACAGGAATGTCACAACCATACGGCAATGCAGTGCATGATGGGAGCTCCCCCTAATGTAACTAATTACAACTAACCTCCTAGAAGTATCAGGTTTTGAGAAATGTAATTGAGTTACATTGAATTTTCTCTTTACTCAAATTAGAGCCTACTGTAATTGATTGGTTTATTTTCATGTTGTTGAGCTTCATTTGGTCTTTCTGAGTTACTAATTGGACTCAAAGAACATAATTTCACTACTTTATTTGTGGGATGTGCATGATTTTAAATACATTATAAACATTACCAAATATTTATAAATAGATATAGACACACATAAACGTGCAAAACTATAGATATAGAGGGAGAAGTGGTAGAGAATTGTTGTGATCAATACAAATCACTGTTATTCTTCAATACCTTGTAGACACTTGAATCTTGATAACATTTGAGAAACTTAATCCTAGAACTCTACCTTGATTTATAATTTGGTCAGGAGAAGCAACCTTAGAGCATTTCCAATCTTTCATCTTTTTTCCTTTCTTTTTTTTTTCCCATCAAATTTGGGTAAAAAAAATGGTTAAAAGCTTGATTTGATATGGGATGCTCCAATAGATTTTTGTCAAATTTAACTAAAAACTAGATTTGGTGAAAAATTGAATGCTTCAATCCTCACTAACTTAAAAATTTTCATCAAACCCAAATTCACCTCCAAAAGCTTCTTTCATCAAATTTGGTTTAAAAAAAAAAAACTTGTTTTGCCATGATTTGATGAAAATTTTGGTGAAAACTTGATTTGATACAAGTTTGATGAAATGATTGGAGGTCATTTTTCAATACAAAATGTTTATGGTTTTCCTTATGTATATCCTAATCAATCTCAAATTTTGAGCCC